AGTCCTTGTGCCTCCGGGGCCGTGGCCGTGTCGGAGAGCCGCTCGTGGGGGGCAGCTGGCGACATCGGTCGGGTGTGAAGGACGGCCCATTATGCCCCCCTTCCCATGAGGTCCCTGCCGCTCCCACCCCCGGCTCAAACCTGCTGTCCACAAGGCTCCCATGCTGCCGCCATCTTTCTTTCCAGAGAGGAGCGGGCGAGTAACCCACATATTCTTAAAAAAACTTTTAAAAATTATATCTCATGATACTGTAGGTCAGTAATTTGCGCAGGACTCAAATGGGTGATTCTATTCTCCCTCTCATTGATATGAGTCTCATATGAGAGTTCAGCCAAAGTTGGGTCCTGCTGGCAAGGTGTAAGAGATTCTCTCTTTGTAGTTACATTAATGGTGTTTGGGTAGCAATGTCTGGAAGCCTTTGGAAAGTTCTGGAGGGGTAGGCCCAGAGGAAGCCTTCTCTTACTCCAGGCACTCTAATAGGCTCTTTGGGTAGCTGGAATTTGGAGTTGAAATTCTTTTTTTTTTTCCTGTTATGTGTGTGTGTGTGTGTGTGTGTGTGTGTGTGTGTGTGTGTGTGGGAGATGGGGGGGCTCATACCCAGCAATATTCAGGGATTACTTCTGGCTCTGCACTCAGGAATTATTCCTGGGGGTTCTCTGGGGACCATATGGGACACCGAGGATCCACCCTGGGTCTGCGGTATGTAAGGCAAAAGCCCTGCCCACTGTACTATTGCTCCAGCCCCTGAGTTGGAATTCTTATCTAACGGCTTAGTCCCAAGAGACAGGAAGTGAGAACTGCTGGTTTCTTAGGCCTGGAAACAGACCATCCTTATCATGATCATTGGTCAAGACAGTTAAAGAACTTAAATTCATGGGATTCGGCTAGATATATTAATCCCCTTCCTGTGGGAAGCGCAGCAAGGAATATGTAGCCCAATCTGAAACGTGATTTTCCCAGATCTCCACCTGCCTATGTTTTTCTTGACTCAGGCCTCAGCTCATATGTCATGACATAATTGCTGTGTGACATGCTGAGCCTTACAGCCCAGTCAACACCCCTCCCCCTGCCCCTGCTTGCTGTCACCCAGTCTATTCTATATCTCAGTGATTGTCTTCATAACTCTCGGTATTACTGGAAACTGATTTGCTTATTTGGCTGCTCTCCCAAAAATATAAATAGCAGGCCAGTTGGGACTTGGGAACGTTCACTGTGTTCTCCAAGGGCTTAGAACAGTGTTTGAAACTTATTAGATACTGGATAATATCTGCGGAGTAAATGAATAAGCACAGACTGGAGCAGAAGGTTGATTGATGGAAATGCGTGACAGTTTTCAGTGCATTTTTACAAAGAAATCCAAAGCTCTGGCATTCATTGAAAACTGGCAACCCCAGCCCTCTGGGGCCCTAGAAAGGATGGAGCCTTCTCAGTTGTCATCACTGTGTGACCAGTTGGGAGCAAGGGGAGGGCAGCCCCAAAGAACACACAGAGCTGCCGGGAAATACGATAAAAGACAGGGTGTAAAGGTCCTACTCTCACCCCATACCACTAAGAACTAATCCAAATAGTTTAGGCCAAAGTAGGGCACTTTGTATTTTTGTAGGGACTCACAGATAATAGGAAGGTGTGAATGTCAAAGAAAGGGATGTTGTACTACTCATTTAATAAATCAGTTCCAACTCATGTAAGAGTTAACTGGCACTCACATGAGCTCCGAATGGTCTCAGAGGTCTGTGAGGACCCCAGAGCCTCACAAGAGTATTCATCCCCAGGCCACTGCTGCCATTGTGTACGAGCACCACAGCTAAAGTGTGCACTTCCTCCCTACCCAAGTGTGTGATCACAACCGTGTGTGTGTGTGTGTGTGTGTGTGAGAGAGAGAGAGAGAGAGAGAGATCCCAGGTAATTGCAATAACAACAAAGGAAAGGGAAGAAGAAAGAGTGGAGTGATTAGAACACACAGAAACTATAGCCCAGTGGTAGAGTCTGAACTTACTATTTATGAAGCCCTTTGTTTAGTCTCCTGCTCATGAAGAAATTGAACATATGAAAATATCAGAGATGAACTAGCTGGACACTGGTGTTGGACATGCTGTTGAGCATGAGCTCTTAGGACATGCAACCTGACCATTGATTGTACTGGACAATGACCACTGAACTCCCAGCAAATGCTCCCCTGAAGGCTTTCCTGAGATGCTGTTCTTTCTGCATCACTCTTTTGTTTTGATTTTTGGTTGTTGTTTTGATTTTTAGGGGTAGCCACACACCTGGTCCTGCTCAGGGCTTACTCCTGGCTTTCAGGAATCACTCCTGGCAGGGCTTAGTAGACCATATTGGATGCTGAGGATCAAACCTAGCTTGGCCATATGCAAGACAAATGCCCTACCCATTGTACTATCGCTCCAGACCCTCCTTTCAAAGTCAAGATAGGAACCTCTTATTGGCCAACGCACATGGCCTTCCCAGGCTTGGTCGGGGAGCTGGCATTTGCAGGGTCAGCTCTGCTTCTCCTCCTGACTCTTTGGAACTTAGCAAAGTTTTTTATGTTAAAATGACAGCATTTTAGTGCTATCAATTGGTACCTTGTTATGCTTTTGGGTTCCATTTCCCTAATTATGAATGTTTTCCAACATGTTTTCATGTTCTCATTGGATATAAAGCTATAAAAGTAGAATGTCAAGTCTGAATTGCTTTTGATTCTCTGACATATACTGTATACCATTTCCTTCAGTAAAGCACTATGTTAATAGTTAATATTATGTTATATTAGTTTATTAGAATGCAATAAATGAATAAAATAGTTAATATAATATGCAACATTACAAACTGATATAATAATTAATATTAATGTGATTTTATAATGAGGACTGGAGCGATAGCACAGTGGGTAGGTCATTTGCCTTGCAAGCAGCCAACATGGCCGACCTGAGTTTGATTCCTCCGCCCCTCTCAGAGAGGCCGACAAGCTACTGAGAGTATCTCCCCCACACGGCAAAGCCTGGCAAGCTACCCATAGCATCTTCGATATGCCAAACACAGTAACAATTGTAACAATGGAGACATTACTGGGCCCGCTCAAGCAAATCGATGAACAATGGGAGGACAGTGACAGTGACAGTGATTATAATGAGTAGATATAATAACTGCTACAATATCCATTCATTATAATACTATAAAACATGTCGATATTCACTTCTATCCAAAATTAAGGAGAAAAGTTCAATTATATACTAAGTTCCAGGGTATATAATATGTCAGATATGTCAAGGTGCATATTTGTCTATCTAAAATATATTCATATACTAATTCTGAAAAGTTTCTATCAAAATAATTTGGCATGTTCAAGAAATCACGCTTACCCATTTTTTTTTAGCAATTGTCCTGTGGCTGCTGAGATCTCCAGCATCAGGGATAGACACTGTTGAAATACTCTTGTTTTCTGCTGCCCCACATCTGCACTGACTCCTCCTCCAAAGGTGTCGTTCTCCTGCCAATACACTGGGCGGAAAGAACATTCAGAACATCATGCTTCAGAACTGGAGACTCACAGCTCTATCCATTGCATTGACTTATTGCTCATACATGATTTTGGAACTGGAATTAATACGGACTTCTTAGATTGTTTTGAAGGAAATCTGTTTATTTATGTGTACCTCTTATGCTATCAAACTGAGTGAGGTATAAATAAGGCAGCTGGAATAACGTGGAGAGACAGGTAGCTGGGAAGGAGTTGAGCACGCTGAGTTCCCTCAGATACAGGGAATGGCTTAGAAGCACTGGCCCAAGGTAAAGGTTATCCCAGTAGGCAGAGACAGAGAGTGGAAGGCACAGTGTCCCAGCTGGATGGGCTTGATTCTGCTGAATATGAGAACCTGAAGTCTGGCCCATGCCCTGGGTATGACAGCTGCAGACTCCAGAGGGCAGACACCAACCTACCTTCAGCTAAAGCCGCCTGATTCTAGAACTTGTGTACTTCGTCATGACATCATCCCAACAAGGGTAGGGGGAGGCAGGAACTAGGCAGGGACCTTTGGCTCCCAGGGGAATGCAGGGATCAGGCTTTGGAACACGGCCAAGCAGGCAAAGGTCAGCCCGGGAAAGGAGCCTTCAAGGCAAATGGGGTGAAAGGCCTGGGAACTGGGAACGAGGCTGAAGTCCAAGCAAAGGGACCCAGCAGACACTGGATTTCAGGACTTTGGTGGGTCACAAAATCTTCCATCACTCTTTTCTTGGGATGCTGGGCAGAAACACTGGGAATGTGCTGTGCTCAGTGGCTAGAAATACAGCTTGCAAGTTGTAGTCATGTACGCTTTAGGAAGGAAGGAAAATTTTTTTAAAATTTTATTGAATCACCGTGAGATAGTTACAAGCTTTTATGTTTGGGCTACAATCACACAATGATCAAACACGCATCCTTCCACTAATGCACATTCCCCACCACCAATATTCCTGGTATACCCCCCCTTTCCCACCCTCCCCCTGCCTCCATGGCAGACATGATTCCCCATACTCTCTCTCTACTTTGGGGCATTATGGTTTGCAATACAGAACCTGAGAGGTTATCATGTGTGGTCCTTTATCTGCTTTCTGTACACATCTCCCATCCTGACCGATTCCTCCAGCCATCTTTTTCTTAGTGATCCCTTCTCTATGCCAGCTGCCTTCTCCCCTTTGCTCATGAAGCAGGCTTCCAGCTATGGAGCAATCTATCTGTCCCATGTATCTACTATCCTTAGGTGTCAACCTCATGTTATGTTGTTTTATACTCAGGAAGGAAATTTTGTACATAAATTAACCCATTTATTATAGCTAGACATACTTCATTTTTTTTCTTTTTTTGGGTCACACCCAGGGCAATGCTCAGGGGTTACTCCTGGCTCTGCACTCAGGAATTACTCCTGGGGGTTCCCAGGGGCCATATGGGATACTGGGGATAGAACCCAGGTCAGTTGGAAGCTAGGCAAACACCCTATTCCCCGTAGTATCATGGTGGCTCCCAGCTAGCCATGCTCCAGTTGGCAGATCTGGTTTTTCAACTCCTTCAGTCCTTTCATGGCAAATTTGGCCATGACAGCAGTGACCACTGTATTGTAGGTCCAGAAGCCCTCCACGACGGTTTTCATGCAAAAACGCCGGTGCCCAGTGTCCACGGCCCATCTCTTCATCTTGGTCTTGCCACAGAAGGAGCACATGTACTTGGCATGCTGGCTGATTTTGATTTTCTTCACCATCTCTCGGAGGGAGGCTCAGTAACGCTTCCATATTTACCCCCAATATCCACCTTCTGGGGGCTTTTAGTCATCTTGCTGCCAACCAGCTCAGGACCAGACAGTTAGGAAGGAAGAAACCTTAAAAGGAAAGGAAGATGGACACGTCAAAGCCTCACCACACTCCAAACACCATACTGTGTTGAGTATTAATCATATTGAATGCCCAAACCCTCAGCTCCAGTGATAAGATAGGAAGAGTTAACTGATCTCTTTTTGACTTTTTTTAAATTATTTTTATCAGGGTGCCATGATTTACAAAGTTGTTCATAACAGTTGCAGCCATACAATCTTTCAACACCATCCTACAACCAATGTCCCCTCCCCTCCACTAATTTTCCCAGATTTCCTCCCACCCCACAACCTGCTCCTTTGGCAGGCATATAACAAATTTATTTCATATTGCTTGCTTCAACAAAATTGAAAGGAATGGCAAATGGAATTATCAGAAAATAAATTAATAAAAGTAAATTTATGATATTGATCGCCACATTATTTTACTTAAGTAGCACTGCACTGTAGCACTGTCCTCCCATTGTTCATCAATTTGCTGGAGCGGGCACCAGTAACGTTTCCATTGTGAGATGTGTTGTTACTGTTTTTGGCATATAGAATATGCCACAGGGAACTTGCCAGGCTCTGCCGTGCAGGCGGGATACTCTCGGTAGTTTGTGGGGCTCTATGAGAGGGATGGAGGAACTGAACCCGGGTCGGTCGCGTGCAAGGCAAACGCCCTACTCGCTGTGCTCTTGCTCCAGCCCATCCATGTATATGTATGTGTGCGTGTGTGTGTATACACACATGTGCGCGTGCACACATACATATATATGTATATCACTGCCAAAAAGCGATATATATATATATATATTTATATATCTCACTGCCAAAATCAAGGTATATTTTGGATCCAGGCACCGGTTGCAGGTTGCTCTGATTTGTTAATATATATCACGATTGTCCCTTTTATATTTTAAATTTAAGACACTCCTACAGATATTTTGGCCTGATTTCTTTAGCCCAAGCTGTATGTGTTCATCCCCCGTGCTTTGCCTAGTGGTGCTGGAGATCTCCAGAACTGCACTGACAAGGTGTGTAGGCCATGCAGTGCAGGATATCAGGGTCTCAGGGTCTTGCCCATGTGCCTCAATGCCTTTGAACCATCTCAGTCATCAGTAGTCAGGGCACAGTCCTGGTGGTGTTTGGGGGCCCATGCAGTGCTGAGGATTGAACTCAGGGCTCGTGCATGCAAAGCATAGGCTCCATCCAGCCCTTTGAGTGATCTTTCATCCCCCCTCCCTGTTATTTTGTGTTTCAGTAATTCATTCATTTTGTTTTTGTTGCTGAGTACACTGTAAGGATTATTTATCAGTCAATGAAAATTTGGGTTGTTACTAGTTTGGGGCTATTGTAAAGAAAACTGCAAAAAGCGACTTGTCTGCAAATCTGTGTGTATGCTGATTGTAAAATATGTGCTGAGCTTTCAAGAACTAGCCAAACTGTTTTCCAAAGAAGTAAAATCATTTTGCAATTTCACCCGTGACATATAAATACATCAGTATTGAATTGTTTGCACTATGGCAAAGCACATTGACTATTTTTTTAAGTTGTTTACCCAATATGGCACTGCTAAAATAAATTACACTTGTTCATAATGTATTGATCTTGTAATATATTGCTTTATTTAGTTTGCAAATTTTTTTGTTGAGAATTTTGCTTTCATGTACTTGAGGGATATTGACAACATTTTTCTATTCTTGTAATTTTTTTTATCAAGTCTTGGTCTATGTACAATATGTATAAAGCCAGGTTCATTAAATAATTAGGAAATACTTTTAATTTTTAATTTTCTTGAATCTATTAAAAAGAGTATTATTTTAACTGTAAATATTTTAATGTGCCACTTAAGGAGAAATCTTGGTCTGAGGTTTTGTGCTTTTTATTTTAAATGTTTTTAATTGTGGTCACGGTCCTCCCGTTGTTCATCCATTTGCTCGAGTGGGCCCAGTAACGTCTCCATTGTGACACTTGTTGTTACTGTGTTTGGCATATCGAAGATGTCACGGGTAGCTTGCCAGGCTTTGCCGTGCGGGCAAGACACTCTCGGTAGTTTGCTGGGCTCTCCGAGTGGGGCGGAGGAATCAAACTCAGGGTGACCAGGTCGGCCGCGTGCAAGGCAAACGCCCTACCCACTGTGCTAAAGATTTTTTTCTTCAACAATTTTTAAACATCAATTTAGTGGTATCAAGTATATTCTCATTGCTGCATAGCGTAATAACCATCCACTTTCAGAATTCTTTTCATCTTACAAAACTGAAGTTCTCAAAAGTGTGTATGGAAGAGAGTCAGAGGAGGGGAGAAGAAAGAGAGAGAGGCAGAGAGAGACAGAGAGACAGAGAGAGAGAGAAGGAGAGAGAGAGTAGGAGAGAGTGAGAGAGACAGAGTGAGAGAGAGAGAAGAAAAGAGAGAGAATAGTGGTGGAGGTAGGGGTGGGAGGGAAACTAGGAACAATGGTGGTGGGGAATGTACACTGGTGAGGGAACATTATATGACTGAAACCCATCGTCTGACTGAAACCCAATCATGAACAACCTTATAATTGCATATCTCACTGTGATTCAATTAAAAAAAAACTGAAGTTCTCTGCATAGCACTGTCGTTCCGTTGTTCATTGATTTGCTCGAGCGGGCACCAGTAATGTCTTCATTGTGAGACTTGTTACTGTGTTTGGCATATCGAATATGCCACAGGGAGCTTGTCAGGTTCTGCCGTGAGGGTGAGATACTCTCAGTTGCTTGCCAGGCTCTCCCAGAGGGGCGGAGGAATCAAACCTGGGTCGGCCTTGTGCAAGGCAAGAGCCCTATCCACTGTGCTATCACTCCAGTCCATATATATATATATAAAGTTCTCTGAATGTGAAGCAAAAACTCTTGTTTCTGTCTGCAACCAAAAGACACGCTGAAATTCTCAACTGTGATTTTGGATTTGTTTATTTCTCTCCCTTGCTTGTTTCCATTGTTTTTTATCTACTCTGAAGATCTGATACATTTGCGTACACATTTAGGATGATACAGCATCTTGATGACAGATGTTTTTGTCATAAAGAAATGACCAACTCCAGATAATTCTGTCAAAATGAAATGACCAACTCCAACTCTGCCTTGACGTCTAATTGATCTCATAGGTGTGTAAGCACATCACCTTTCTCTCACTAGGTATATATTATTTTTTTCCCCATCCTTTCACTGTTTTCGTGCTTTCCCCAGGTGTGCAGGACCTCTCCCCACCCTATATAGGTTTGAATGTCAAGATTGAGGGTGCCATTCATGCCAAGTGGTTTTAAATGATTTCACGTTCACGTGGAACTTCCTGCAGAGCTCAGAGCAGAAGCAAGTTGATCCATCATGGCTTAAACGCAGGAGCAGCAGGTGTGGCTGGCGAGTGAACCAGAGCGAGGGGCGTATGTGTTTGGCTTCCCAGCAGGACCTTCGAGGGAGCCTCTGGACTTGGGCAGGATGGTGGGGCTCTCAGGCAGAACTTAGGGGCCCAGGGCCCCACTTCCAAAGACACTCAGGCCATGAGGGCCAAGCACAAGTCAAGCATGTGCTGCCAACTCCCCCAGCTGTCTTCTAGCCAGCCCCCAAGACTTTCTTCGGAACACACCCACATGTGGGATAAATGTCAGTAGTTTATGCAGACATAAATTTAGAGGTCGTTTCTCTACCACACAATTGACCTCTGTGTTTTTATACAGAGACACTCTTGTGGGGAGTTTGCACCTGGTTTTGCTTTGGGTGGGGATGGAAGGCACCCACCCAGCAGTGATGAGGGTCTGCATCCAACATCGTGCGGGAGAGGAGGGCAGGGCCCACCCCTGGCAGTGCTCAGGGAAACTTGTGGTAATTGGGAGCCCAAACCAGGCCTGTCTCAAAGAAACCCTTCGATTTACCTCCTGGCCCTTTGATATTGATTTTGAAAAGCAAGTCTGACAATAACTACTTGCATTTGGGGAAAGGGGGGCACACGAAGCAATGCTTAGGGGTTACTCCTGGCTCTGTGCTCAGGGTGCGTTGTGGTACTTGGGAAATCATATGTGGTACAGGGGATTGAAGCTGGTTGGACACATGCAAGGCAAGCACCTTGCCTCTCTGCTATCTCTCTAACCACTGATAATATCTGCTGTAAATGTAAATGTATAATCTATTTATATTTAATGGTAAGAGTTGAAACCTAATCCAGTCCTACTTGTCTTTTATTTGTTCAGTTTATAATGAGTTTCCTTCCTACCTGCTTTTTGGTCAATTTTGGTTTAGTATTACAAGTTAATGCCTTAATTAGGTCTTTACTTTATACTTTTTAAAAACTGGATACTCAAAGGATTGCAATACGCATCACTTACTGTGGTCTACTCAGAGTAAATATTGCAGTATTTCTCATGAAATATAAATAGCTTCAACTGTGTAATTCCATTTGCCACAGTTGTTTTAATTATGTCTGCCTAACAACTCGAAGTTAAATAATAAAACGGGTCTTTATTATGCTTGTGGACAAGACATAGTGAAAGTAAATTGTTTCTGATCCTTTGTGTCCAAGAACTCAATGAGAACATTTGAATATTGGGGGCTGGAATTATCCAAAGGTTCATTTATCTATCCAGCAATTGACTCTGGCTATTGGTTGGTGCCTTAGTTGGGCCTGTTAAACCCCTCCCCTGGCCTGGTCTGTGACTTAGAAGCAATGTGGCAGCTTCCTTAGAGCAAGGCCTATACTAAAGGAAAGGTAGACTGGGGTGGAAGCCAACTACCTTTTATGACCTGGACTCAGGAATCATTCTGCTTATCTTTTGCCATGCTCTATCATCGGAAGAAATTGCAAAGCAGGCTGCATGTAAGGAGGAGAGAATCAGATTCTACAAATGACAGGAATGTAAAGGAGCAGCTATATATCTTTGAAGTAGACTTTTTTGAGTGCTAGCATAGTGGGTAGGGCATTTGCCTTGCACATGGCCGACCTGGGTTTGATTCCTCTGCCCTTCTCA